GAGTTCAAGCCCCAAGGCCAACAACAACAAAGTCACAAGCTTCTGGTGCTCTTAAGCTGTCAACAGCGACTGTGTTTGCCCATCTGGAAGGTTAAGTTAGAAGTCATAATGAGGAATATTTACACAGAGCCTCAGCAGAGAACACTTCAACTTCTTATTGATGGATTATAAATAGTGGAAAACTTACACCGTCCCGCGCTGGAATTTCCAGGTCTCCGCAATGCGGAGATGCAACTTTAAACCACATATAATAAACACAGCTGAGCCAGGTGAAGGCCGCGAGCCTCTTTTCTGTAAACAGAAGATAAGAACTCTACCCATTGTGCCAATTCCTCTTGGCTATAATTCTCATCCGAGGGAGTATTTGGGCTCTGCGGCTTATGCCTGTAGTCCCTGCTACTCAGTCGGCAGAGCTCTGAGAATCTCGGTTTTAAGCCACCCAGGGCAGACAAATCCTGGAGACTCTGATCTTCTGTGAACCAGCAAAAAGCTGGAAGTGGAGGTGTGGCTCAAGTGGTAGAGCACCAGCCTTGAGCCAACCCCCACCCCAGGTCCTGGGTTCAAGCCTCAGCAGCAGAGCGTAAGACCTAAAGGGCCTTGCTTTCTGAAAAGATTCCTTCTTGTCATGTCTTACCCCACCCTGATTCCGCACGAAAAGTGCATTTTCAAGGCCCGTGAGTCATTTGTGTTTGTTGGCGTTTTGCCAGTGGTTGGCAAATTTTCCTCTCAGTTGAAGGAAAATGCGGTTTTGGTCCCGGACCAGCCAGGTGGAAAAGTTCTCCTTCTCCTCCTCCTTCGGGCACACAGCCCTGCTGTAACATGACCCCAGAACGCGATCTAACTCTGCTCGCTCTGCTACGCAGCCTCTCCCAGAACTAAGGTCACTTTCACATGTTGGGTGCTCTTTGGCCCACACTGAGCACGTTAGGAGCCTGTGTGGCCGGGCGCCGGCGGCTCGCGCCGGTCAGCCCAGCTGCTCAGGAGGCTGAGATCTGAGGATGGCGGTTCAAAGCCAGCCTGGGCAGGAAAGCCCGTGAGAGTCATGGTGCTTAACAGACACTAGGTGGAAAATGAGCTACAGCTGTGGACAGAGATGGGCAGGAAGCACTGGGGGAAAGAGAGAGAAGGGTAACATTGTCCCAGAGGAAATTGTGTGTGTGTGTCTGTGTGTCTGTGTGTATGTCTCTGTGCGTGTATGTCTGTGTGTGTGTGTCTGTGTGTGTATATGTCTGTGCGTGTCTGTGTCTCTGTGTGTGTTTGTGTGTATGTCTGTGTGTGTGTCTCTGTGTGTGTCTGTGTGTGTCTGTGTTTGTGTATATGTCTCTGTGTGTATGTATGTCTGTGTGTGTGTGTCTGTGTGTATATGTCTGTGTGTGTCTGTGTGTGTGTGTTTATGTGTCTGTGTATGTCTCTCTGTGTGTCTGTGTGTGTGTCTGTGTATATGTCTGTGTGTCTGTGTGTATGTCTCTGTGTCTGTGTGTCTGTGTATGTATGTCTGTGTGTCTGTGTGTATATGTCTCTCTGTGTGTGTGTGTGTCTGTGTGTGTCTGTATCTGTGTGTGTGTCTGTGTGTGTTTGTGTGTCTGTGTGTGTGTGTTTGTGTGTCTGTGTGTGTGTCTGTGTATGTGTGTCTGTCTGTGTGTGTTTGTGTGTCTGTGTGTGTCTCTGTGTGTGTGTGTTTATGTGTCTGTGTATGTCTCTCTGTGTGTCTGTGTGTGTGTCTGTGTATATGTCTGTGTGTGTGTATGTCTCTGTGTCTGTGTGTGTCTGTGTATGTATGTCTGTGTGTCTGTGTGTCTGTGTGTATATGTCTCTGTGTGTGTGTGTCTGTGTGTGTCTGTATCTGGGTGTCTGTGTGTGTGTGTTTGTGTGTCTGTGTGTGTGTCTGTGTATGTGTGTCTGTCTGTGTGTGTTTGTGTGTCTGTGTGTGTCTCTGTGTGTGTGTGTGTGTCTGTGTGTGTGTGTGTGTGTGTGCTGGTCCTGAGGCTTGAACTCAGGGCCTGGCACTGCCCTTGAGCTTTTTCACTCAAGGCTGGCGCTCTACTACCTGAGCCACAGCTCCACGTCTGGCTTTTTGCTGGTTCCTTGGAGATGAGAGTCTCACAGGCGTTCCTGCCGGGCTGGCTTTGAGCCGCGGTCCTCACTCTCAGCCTCCTGGGTGGCCGGGGTGGCCGGCGCGAGCCCCAGCCCTCGGCTTCGCTCCCTTTCTGGATGGGGCAGGTGCGGATCCTCGGGGGCTTCATTTCTTTGCGCGGGGGTTTGGAAAGGGATGCTGATTCTGTCGCTATCACCCTGGCCCTGGATTCCGACATTGCCTGAACGTCAATATTTCTGCAAAACCATTGGCTTCAGGTCTGAAGGTTAAACTTTGTTTTTCGTTAGTGTCTCAATTAAGAAGCAATGGAGGAGGGGGGGAAGGTGGCTCAGGGTAGAGCGCAGGCCTAGAAGGCATGAACCCGGGGTTCGATTCCTCAGCACCACAGACAGAAAAAGCCGGAAGTGGCGCTGTGGCTCAAGCGGTAGAGCGCCAGCCTTGAGTGAAAGAGCTCAGGGACAGCGCCTGGGCCCTGAGTTCAAGCCCCAGCACGACATAAAATAAGTAAAGCCAAATGCAAGTAAAAAGTGACATTGAGCAGCTTCCTAACCTTTTTCTTCGTAGAAAAGGCCTACGACCGTGCTAGGTTTGTTTAGTTTAGTGTAGTTTTGTTTTGCCAGTCCTGGGGCTTGAACTCAGGGCCTGGGCGCTGTTGCTGAGCTTCTTTGTGCTCAAGGCTGGCGCTCTACCACTTGAGCCACAGCGCCACTTCTGGCTTTTTTGAGTGGTTTGTTGGAGATAAGAGTTTCACGGGGACTGTCCTCCTGTCTGGGCTGACTTCGAATTACAATCCTCAGACCCCAGCCCTGAGTGGCTGGGATGACAGGCATGACCGCCGGCGCCCGGCTTGTGTTTGCCTGTTTTAAAGGCTGACCCGGCCCTGCGTTCTCACAGGCTCTGAGAATTGTTCCCAGAAGCCCTGAGTGACATCTCAGTCCTCGAAGGGCCGACAGCTGGTCATTAGCCGGGTGGCGGGGGTGTGGCTGTGGAGAACCCCACTGAACGGAGCCACGGCGCTCACAGCGCGGTGCGTCATCAGGAACTTGCCCGGGGCCGGGGCTGAGGCGCGGCCTGCCTTAGTAACATTTTCATAAGGCTGTAAATTTACAATTTGACAAAACATCTGACCAGCCCAAGACTGGTAGAGTAAAAAAAAAAACAAACCCAAAGCCAAGGTATTGAAAGCAGAGTTGGGGGCCGGGGCTCCCGCCTGCCATCGGCGACTCAGGAGTCTGCGAGCTGAGGACTGAGACTCGAGGCCAGCCCCTGGCGTGGGCTCAGAGCCCGGCGCCCTCCTGCGGCTTCTCCACTCGAGGCCGGCTTTGGACCTCAGCCCTCAGGTCTTCTCAGCCTCCTGAGTCGCTGGGGTGACGGGGGGTCAGCCATCCGCGCCGGACGGACATCAGGTTTGAACACTTCTCAGAGGAGGCATCATTGTCATTGTCATTGTTATTCGGCCGGTGTTACTGTTACCCTGTTTATTATTTGGCAGTAGCAGGTTTTGAGCTCAGCACCTCTTTCTCGTTCAACTTGCTGCCTGACTGGAGCTCTGCTCTTTGAGCCAAGCCCCCGGCTAGTTTTCGGCTGTTTCTATTGGACATGGAATCTTCCGGACTCCGCTTCCCGGGCTGGCTCTGGGCCTCGCGGCTCTAGCTCCTGCCTCCTGCGTGGTTAGGGTCGCAGGCCTAAACCTCTGCGGCCCGGCGGTTCCGGCATTTTCCTCGCATGCAGATCCTGACTGCAGCCGTCCAGCTCTGTCTGCAGGTTCCAGCTGAGACTCCCAGGCCTTTTTGGCTTTGGGGCCATCCCGAGACTTGAACTCAAGGCCTCGCGCTCTCGCAGCTTTTTGGCTCAAGGCTAGCTCCCTCCCGTTTGCGCCACAGCTCCAAGTCTGGCTTTTTTTTGGTGGTTATGGGAACCTGAGTCTTAACAGACTTTGCAGCCTCCAACTGGGATCCTCACACCTCAGCCTCCTGCCTGGCTGGGATGGCAGGCGTGACCCACCAGCACGCGCCCTGCTTGCTGGTACTCGTTGCGTTTCTGTGCGCAGCGGGTTGGCTGCATCTGCGTCCCTTTCCCCCTCCGTGCTCTTTTGACGTGGCCTCTGCCTTCGCGTTTGGGAAGCCATTTTTGAGTCCCCCTGTCTGGGGCCCTGGGCCATAGACTCCTTCTCCAGAGCTCAGTGGGGAAACATCAGGAGGAAGGTGGCTCTCTGCGCCGAGGCCAGGCCAGCCCGGGGGTTACAGTAAACCTGTCTGGGGGGTCCCAACTCCCTCCACCCTGATCACAGAGTGACTCAGGATTCGGCCAGGACGCTGCTGCTGCCAGCCAGCCTAGACACCACTAACTGCCAGTGTTGGTGGGTCGTCTGCAATTCAAACAGGTTCTCTACCTGAAGACCATTTCCTCCTCCTCCTCCTCCTCCTCCTCCCCTCCTCCCCTCCTCCCCTTCCTCTTTATTTTAGCTGGTCCTGTGGCTTGAATTCAGGCCCTGGCACTGTCCCTGAGCTTCTTTGGGTTCAAGGCTGGTGCTCTGCTACTTGAGCCACAGCACCACTTCTGGCTTTATTTTTCTGAGTAAAGCACTGGAGATCAGAGTCTCATGGACTTTCCTGCCTGGGCTGGCCTTGAACCCCAATCCTCAGATCTCAGCCTCCTGAGTAGCTGGGATGACAGGTGTGAGCCACGGGAGCCTGACTCTTCTTCTCCTCTTTTTCCTCTTCCTTCTTTCCTTCCTTCCTCTCTTTTCTTTTTTGCTTTGGTGCTGATCCTAGGCCTTTTCTGTGTCTGTGGCACCTGGGGCCTCAGGCATGCTGGGCGAGGGCTCTCCCTCCGAGCCCCTGCCCCGCCGGGCTGGGGGGTGTTTGGTGCCTGTCTGAGTTATGGCGTTCTGTCTGTCCTGCAGACTGCCTGTTCAAGGTGTGCCCGATGAATCGCTACTCCGCCCAGAAGCAGTACTGGAAAGCCAAGCAGGCCAAGCAAGGCAACCACACGGAGGCCGCCCTGCTGAAGAAGCTGCAGGTAGGGGTGCAGCCACGCCGCCCAGCCAGCTCGCGGGAAGGAAACGTGTCTCTACAGATCACACACCCTTCCAGAGCTTTCCAGCGTCTGCCATGTGCCCAGGGCAGAGAGATGTCATTTTAACAACTGTCTGTGGTTTTTGAGGGTCGGGTGGGGTCGTTTCTCTCTTGGCCTGTTGGGACACATTCTGGATGTCTTTTTGCGGGGAAAGGCGTGCCCAGTGAATTCAAGCATTCCCTCCCACAGAACGGGAAGCAGAAACCCCCGTCGGAACCCAGAGTCGGCTCCTAGCTCGCTTGACACCCCCCTGAAAGAGATAGAAAAAAAAATAATTTAAACATCAAGGATCCTGGCCCGGCTGCGTGTAACGCTGATAACAACTTCACTTTACATCAACACAGAAAAAGAGGGCTCAGGGGTAGAGCGCTCGCCTTGCACGCACGAGGCCCTGGGTTCGATTCCTCAGCACCACATAAGCAGAAAAAGATGGAAGTGGTGCTGTGGTTCAAGTGGTAGAGCGCCAGCCTTGAGCCGAAGAGCTGAGGGACAGCACCCAGGCCCAGAGTTCAAGCCCCAGGACTGGCAGGAAAAAAAAATCCTGTTTGTAGCCAGGCACTGGTGGCTCACGCCTGTAATTCCAGCAACTCAGGAGGCTGAGAGCTGAGGATTATGATTCAAAGCCAGCCCAGACAGCAAAGTCCATTAATGTTGTATTTCCAATTTACCAGCAAAAAACCCAAAGTGGAGCTGTGGCTGAAGTGGTAGAGAACCAGCCTTGAGTGAACAAGGGAAGAAATATTGTAAGGTCCTGTGTTCAAGCCCCTGTGTGGGCATGTGCGCGCGCGCACACACACACACACACAAAACCCAAACAGACCAAACTAGAAAGACTGATGTTTCCAGTCTCCCCAAGTGTGAGTTGGATGGAACTGAATTTTGCATCGTTAACGGTCCTCTTAGTTAAAGAAGAACTCGAGGCATTTGTAATTCTCACTATCCTGCGTAGTTTGACACTCCTTCCTAAGCGAGTTTTGTCAGACTAGACTTTCCTGACGTTTCTGGAGTAAAAGTGACTGACGATGTCTCACTGAATTTAGCAAACATTGAAAAATGAGCAAGTTCACTGTGATCATTTATTTATTCTCTCTCTCACGCACACCAAGGTATAGTCTATTTATTAGATTTCTGGTTTGATTCTTGTTCCCAAAGCTGTCTGCTTCCCGGTCAGTTTCTGTGCCCTTCGCCATATTTCTGCGCTGAATTCTTGCTAATTATTTTATAGCATGCTGCTGAGTTAGAGCAGAAACAAAACGAATCCGAGAACAAGAAGCTGTTGGGAGAAATTGTGAAGTACAGTAACGTCATCCAAGTAAGTCTCTGTTTTTGCTTAAAAAACGTAACTATTTGGTGGCTGGATTGCTTAACTATCCATAAGGTTAGAGTGCCGACCGTGTGAAACAATCTGAGCAAGAAGGCTTGGCTCTTCAGTGGGAATACAGGTGTCCTGGGGATTCACTTTATATCCAGTGCACTATTTACACACTTAAAAATAAGTTGGAGCTGGGCACCAGTGGCTCACGCCTGTAATTCCAGCTACTCAGGAGGCTGAGAGCTGAGGATCAGGGTTGGAAGCCAACCCTGAGCAGAAAAGTTCATGAGACTCTTATCTCCAATGAATTATTCAGAAAAAGCTGGGAGTGGAGCTGTGGCTCAAGCGGTAGAGCACCAGCCTTGAGCACAAAGAGGCTCAGGGACAGTGCCCAGGCCCTGAGTTCAAGCCCCAGGACTGGCAAAATAAACAAATATATAATACGTTGGAACGCTGTTCAGGAAGGGAGACAGTCGCAGCCTCCTGACAGTGAGCCCCGCAGGGAGAGGCCCCCCGCAGGGAGAGGCCCCCCGTGGGGAGAGGCCTTGGGAGAGGCCCCCCACAGGGAGAGACCCCCCGCAGGGAGAGGCCCCTGCAGGGAGAGGCCCCGGGAGAGGCCCCCCGCAGGGAGAGGCCCCCCGCAGGGAGAGGCCCCCTGCAGGGAGAGGCCTCAGGATGCTGCCTGGTACTAGCAGCTCCCGCTGCATCCCGGCCTCTCCGGACGCTGAGAGCAGAAGATCTCGATGCATGGCAGGAAAGTCCGTGAGACACTTACCTCCACACACCAGCAAAACAACAACAACAGCAACAGCAACAACAACAACAGCAACAGCAACAGCAACGTGCCACGGGAATCCTAAGTAGAGTCGTGGACTGAGTGGTCCAGGGCCTGCGTTGAGTGCAAAACTTAACAGAAAGTGCCCAGGCCCTGAGTTCAAGCCCAAGTTTTGACATGGAAGGAAAAAAAAAGGAAGGAAGGGAGGGAGAGGGGGAGGGAAGGAAGGAGAGAAAGAAGGAAGGAAGAAAAGAAGGAAAGAAAATATCTCCCTCCTATAAAACAAAACCACCTAGTTCCTTTGGAGGCTGAGACTTCCTGACTTCCTTCCTTCCTCCCTCCCTTCCTTCCTTCCTTCCCTCCTTCCCCTTCCTT